AACTGTAGACTTAACTAATCAATTCATGTATTTTTGGTGTCTAATGTATGATCGGAGCAGCACGTATGTGTGAGTTTGGGGGCCAGAGGTTGCTGTCAGGTGGCTCCCTCAACTGTTTCTCCATGTTAGTTTTTGAGGCAGGGTCTCTCACTGATTCTGGAACTCAACAATTGATTAGGCCGGCTGGCCACCAAGCCCCAGACCAAGCCCCAGGGATTCTCCTGTCTCTGCCTCTGAGCTCGGGGGTTACCGAATGCACTACTGTGCTTGGCTTTTTTTGCGTGTGGGTTCTGGAGTTGCAAACTCGGGTCACCGAGTTTGTACGGCAAGCACTTCACTGGACTGAGCCATCTCTTCAGCCCTGAACGGCATGTTTTAAATGAGTGAGATGTAAGGTGTGTGAGTTACATTCCCACATTATTGTTAAACAGTAACAATCGACCCAAGGACCAGTCCGGATGCTCTAGGAGACTCTTGTTCAGGGCTGGCAGGAGAGTAAGGACGTCAGGGAGGGATACTGCAGGTGGAGGAGGAGGGAAGGGGGAAATTCTGTGTGCACTGTGATGGGGAAGTTTGGACCAGCTTCTGAGTTGGAGCTGGGGTGCCGTGATGGCTGTTTTTGGTTGCCAACTTAACTACATCTGGAGTTAACTAAAACCCAAGCGGCTGGGTACTCCTGTGTGGCATGTCTCACCTAATTAAATAATTTGAAGTGGGAAGGCCCACTTAGGATAGCCTAAGTTGGGAAGTCGCACCTTTTATCTGGGCCACACCTGTAGGCGACAGCCCATATCAAGGACCTGGAAGGAGGAAGCTTGCTCTCTCTTTGCTGGCTTGCTCCTGCTAGCAAGCGCCTTCCTTCAGTGGCGTTAGAGCCTACTTCTTCAGGATTCTGACGTACACTGAAGACTGGCTGAGACATCCAACCTTGTGAACTGAACAGCTGCTGGATCCTTGGACCTTCTGTTGGTCGACAGCCATTGTTGGCCTAGCTGGGCCATAGCCTGTAAGCCATTCTAATAAATCTCATATAATATATGTATATATATTATATGTAATATATATACAATATTATATATGTATATATATATTCACTCTACCAGTTCTGTTCCTCTAGAGAACCCTGACTAATACTGTATTACAGGTGGGAAGGGGTTCCCTGAGCTCTCACCCCATTGGGTGTCTGAGACAAGGGAATAAAGGGTTGAGGTCTGATGCCTCCCCAAGGTAAGGCACTGACTGAGAAGGTACCGTGAAAAATGCAGAGATGTTGAGGCCAGTTCCCATTTCAGGAAGATGGAAACCTATGTGCAGATTTCAGCCCAGGACCACAGGGACATTTAAGCCAGGACAGGATCTTAATAAGAAAGAGTCTGAGGCCGGGCGGTGGTGGCGCATGCCTTTAATCCCAGCACTCGGGAGGCAGAGGCAGGCGGATCTCCGTGAGTTCAAGGCCGGGCTGGACCGACAGCCTCCAAAACAATACAGAGAAACCCTGTCTTGAAAAAAAAATTAAGAAAGCCCACAGGAGACCCTCCAGGCACACGCAATGTCTGGCCGCAGAGATTCGATGTTACCAAAGGGAGAGTGGAGGAGGTGAGCACAGCGTGAGTAATAACCGGAAACCCCTGTGCGGTGGGAATTTGGAGATAGACCTCATCGGCTCAGGCCAATTTTACACAGGAATACCAAGGGAGGTGGGCTGTGGAGAGCGGAGAACAGCCAATTCCCTTCTCGAATACAGCGGGGGAAAGCCCTTTCCCATCATTTGATTCATCGTGAGAGTGAGCTGAACAGTTTTGTTCCAGATGGAAAACAATTGGCCTCCCGTGGAAGAGGAAATGCCAGGCAGGGCCGCTGACTTGCTCTGGACTGGATAATAACCATAGCTCCTGATAGATTGCCTAGAAAAGGGGTCAGGCAGAGCCCTGGAATCCCCGTGGAGAGGGAGCCAGGAGGGGAGCTGGCTGCTGCTTCCTGTCTACATACAGAACTGGGAGGGGCTTTTGCCTTTCAACAGACATTGAGTTCCACATGCGGGACTGCGGAGACACTCTCTGGTGTCATTGTGTTCAGCAGGCTTAGAGCTAACCGCCAGCTCTTCTCTGGGGAGTAAATGAGATGGTCATGTGATGACTTCAATGACTAGAAATGATCCTCTGATTTAGATGGCATTTTAATCTTCTGGGAGTAAGAAATGTATCCCACGTCAGGTACCGGGGTATTAGAGACGGTCTGGGACTGCTTGAAGATGCTTCAGTCTGTGAAGTGTTTGTTGTGCATGCCTGAGAATCTGGCTCACCTCCAGAACACACACACAAAAAGCGGGCTTACTTGCTCTTATAATCCCAGGGCTGGGGAGGTGCAGACAGGAGGGTCTCTGGTGTTTGCTAGCTAACTAGTCTTAGGTACTTGGTGAGCTTCTGGTTAGTGAGAGATCCTGTCTCAAAAGAGGTGGGTGGCACTGAGGAATGACACCTGATGTGGACACTGGCCTCTGCATGCACAAGCACACATGTGCAGACCAGGTATGCATGTGCTTGCGCACACACACATCCACAGACACATACACTCACATACAAACACACATGCACTGGCACATGCACATATACACACACATGCACACACACATGCATACATAGATGCATGCACACACACATGCACACATGAATGCCCACATGTATGCACAAGAACTCACATGTGGCGCATGTGTGCACTCACGCATGTGCACACACTCAGACACACACACACACACACACACACACAGAGGAATCTTTGTATTCTGCAAGCAGGGCTGTCTATGTTCATAATGTCTCCGTGCCTATATTTCTTCATTCATAATATATGGAAGATGATACCTGAAGGATCTTTGGAGTGGAGTTTCCCGGGACCACCGACTTCTCATTGGTGTCACATTCCCAGGAAGCAGATCACAAACATTCTGAAAGCCTTAGCTTGGAAGAAAACCATTTCTTTTCCAATCTGTCCTGGTCTTCTTTATCATAGCTGAGTTCATTCTTCTTTATGATTGTTCTTATGCTTCCGGTTGAAAGATCAGCAGCCTTCCCCGGGGAAAGAACTGTGTTTCTCACTGAGGGGTGGAGAAACTGAGGATGAGGCCCACAAAAGTGGGCACTGAGGGACTGGAGGTCAGAGAGGTGACTCCCTTGAGTGCTGGGGAAACTGGGAGCTGTGTACCTGATGTGAAACTTTCTGGTAACAAGCCAAGGTCGCTCACATCAAATGAGAGGTCCTCTGGGGTTGGTTGCAGGTCCACTGGGGTTGGGTGCAGGTCTGCAGGGGTTGGGTGAAGGTCTGCTGGGGCTGGATGCAGGTCTGCTGGGGTTGGATGGTTGGATGCAGGTCTGCTGGGGTTGGGTGTAGGTCCTCTGGAGTTGAATGCAGGTCCTCTGGGGTTGGATGTAGGACATTGCGAAGCACACATTTCTCCACAGAAATCTTTTTTAAAGAAACCCACTAAATCTAAAATGAATTTATTACGTATGATTCTCAGTTATAAAATATTGCCTATTGAGGTATACTATCTGGTCAGCATAATGCTGAGGTGGTGATTTTGATAATGTAAATACCATTACTTTCTTATAAAATAATGCAGGTTTGTTGTGGAAAGTCTCCAACCAGGCAAGCAATAAAGACAGAGAAAGTATCATGGAGGGTGTTTCCCCTCCTGGAAATTCAATTCTGTGCAGACATTAGGGTTTGTTTGTAGATATTAGGAAATGGGAGTGTGTCCGCGTGGATCTACAGACGTCTGCTTTGTTGCTAACACACGGACTTTCATATTGCATGAGGCTCATAAGTAGATAAGACAGAATTAAACTAAAAAATGGGGTAATTTTAGATTTTTTTCCAAAGGGTTCACAGAGCTTCCTTATTCTTCATCCACAGGCTCCAGTGTCCCCTAATGTCACCATCTCATGTTACCATGGTAACAAGTCAAGTCTAGGAAGTCTATGCTGGTCTGTTACCGTGTTCATCATATACTCGTTTCTGCAACTGTCTCTGAGAAAATGGACTCACTCAGAGCACACGTATTCTGGAGAGTTCCCTCCAACTGCTAGGCCCGGTGGCCTCTTGCCCATGACCACATCTCATGGTAGGAGATCCTAGTGGATCAAAGGTCTTCACCTCATGATGGGGGCATGGTTGCTTCCTCAAGACCTCAGGACTACTGCCCCAAAGACTCGGCCCTTCAAAGTTTTCAACATCTCCCTCTGTAGCCACAGGCTGGGGACCCCTCCTACACAACGCCTTGCAGGACCCTTATGATCGCAACCACGCAAGTGCTTGTCACTAAACTATACGGCCTTACTTAGACGGAGGTGTGCCGTTGGCCACACCACCCTCCTCTTCATTTCTCAGAGCGGGAGAGACGGTTGGTGTTGAGTGTCATTGCGACTGGACTGGGGGGGGGGGGCTTTGAAAAGGACAGAGCGGTAGGTGTGTCCCCAAGGGTGTTTCCAGGGGTCAGCAGACTGACTGGGGAATACCCACCTGTCTGTGTCACTGCCCAGCGCATCTGGGACAGGAGGAGGCCAAATGACCCTCCTCACCTTTCATTCACCCCTACTCTTCCTGCCCTTACGTCAGAATTCAGGCTCTCCAGCCTCCGGAGAGTGGGATTTGTACCCAGGCCCCCCCCCCCCCCCCCGAGGGCTCTGTGGCATTTGGCATTGAACTGGGGTTGCTGTCGGCTTCCCTGGGAATGGGGATTCTGGGCTGGGACTGAGCCAAGCTGCCCTCTTCTTCAGCTCTCCAGTCTGTACCCACTGGCATCACTTAAGGCAATTTTCCTAGCATCTCCCATCCATCTTATCCTGCATGGTCAATGCAATAGCTGTTAGAGGCCTTGGCTGTGCTGCTCTGTTCCCTTCCTAAGTGCGGTAAATTACCTGCCTCAAACTTCGGAACCTCATTTACACGGAGAAAGAACACGGCTGGGTGTTGTCAGACACATGCTTTTGTGAGCAGCACTGTAGTCAGGACAGCGTAGGGACGGCGCAGCCGGCGAGCCCCTGCCTGTGACAGCAACCTTTGCTAAATCACATACCAACGCTTCCCATCCGTGCTCCTCACTTCTCCGTGGCCGGGATGAAATGCCAAGGTGAAAAGCAGGTAGGGAAGAAAGGGGTTATCCTGGCTCACAGTTCCAGAGGGATAGGGTCAATCAGGGTAGGAAGATCACGGCGCTAGGCTGGCGTGGTGGCAGGGGCCAAGAAGATGATCATGTTTTTTCATAGCAGGAAGTGGGACATGGCTATGAAAGCTTAAAACCTACCCCCCCCGTGATGTACTTCACCCAGCAAGGCTTTACCCCCTCCTCAAGGCTCCAGACATCCCTAAATAGTGTGTGTCCTTTTCTGCATCCACTGCCTGTAGTTGGCCCTGAGATTCATGACTTCTCTCTGTTGCTATGATAAAATACCCAACAAAAGGCACATGAGGGAGGATGGTCTCTTATGAGGGAAGATGGTCTCTTTTGGTTCATGGTCCATCACACGCCACGCACACACGCACACACACACACACATACGCATACACACACACACACACGTGCGCATACACACACATGCACACACACACACAAACTTGAAAATTGGAGAGGACCCCCATGAAAAGGGTGCCAGTGGGAGATGGATGGGCATGAGGGAGGGGGATCGGGGGATGGAAATGACTGAACATCATTATATAAATGTATGAAATCCTCAAACAATTAAAATGGGGGGGTGCCGGGCGGTGGTGGTGCACGCCTTTAATCCCAGCACTCGGGAGGCAGAGGCAGGCGGATCTCTGTGAGTTCGAGGCCGGGCTGGACCGATAGCCTCCGAAACAATACAGAGAAACCCTGTCTCGTAAAAACCAAAAAAAAAAAAAATGGGGGGGGGGAGAGGATGCTACCAAGCTCGGAGAAACATTAAAAATAGGTAGGATATTCAAAACAAGTTGGGGGACCTAACTCCCCACAGAAGGGGGATGGCTAGAGTCACTTCTCTGTGAGAGAAGTGCTGGAACAGTGTGTGATGCCTCTGGACTCAGCGAGAGGGGAGGAAAAGGCGCTAAGGCAGACAAAGGCTGCCCGCTGCGCCCGCTGTGCCCGCTGTGCCCGCTGTGCCCTCAGGCCTGGGCATGGGTCGGGCCGGTGTGGGGTGTCCCTGTTTAGAGATGATTCTCGGAGGGGAGGGTGTGGTCCTGTCTAGTCTCACACCTCATTGGTGAGTCTTTCAAAGGACCCCAGGAGCTTCAACCTTTGTGGCTTCCCTATGTACAACAGGGTTTAAGAGGCTGACACAGGATCGATCCCATGACACCCCCCCCACCCATCAGGAGGGCACGCACTGGAAAACGCTCACACATTTGGAGACTCTGGAACTGCAGGATGGACATTCGCAGGCCCGAGATGTCTGCAGTGAATGAGGAAACGGTACCATGAAGATGGGTAGGGGTGGGGCATCGGGAAGGAGGTCTAATAGGGGACCAGCTATCACAGTGTCACCAATGGAGGGAGCTCCAGGCGTTCTCAGCAGGCACATGTGGGGCGGGCTGGGGGGGGGCAAAGGGAAAAGTCAGGGCAAGGGTCGACAGCTGTCAACAGTTACACACTGAACACGGGTTCAGGCCTCATGCCAGTCGTTTGTAGAGGGGAGCGTGCTGCCTAAACGGGCCCACAGGATTCCATCAGGTATCCTTTCCCTATTGAAGTCGGGTTACTGACAGATATCAGCACAATCCCCTCGTCTTAGAATGCTCTAGAAGTTGCAAGCTGCCCTTTCAGAAGTCTCGGGGGCGGGGTGGGGAAAATCACACATATGTTCCCAACCTGCTTCTTTGCAGTTCTTCTCTTGCTGAAGACACATCCTCACCCTTCTAATCCCCACAGGCGTGTACTTCGCTAACAAAGGGCTGGTGGGCCGCGATGTCCACTGTTAGCTATTGCGACGAACCCACTTAGATTTTTGCCTCTTGACCTGGAATTCCAGTCTTAGAGCTATGCCTATAACATCTCGGGTACATTTTAATATCCTGCCACATGTATTTGTTCATAATTTATCCCTCTTTTGCTTCTCAAAGGGGACCGGAGACGACTGAAACTACAAATCCGTATCCTGCCTGCCAGTTTCAAACGAAGGCAGAGGCCTTGCTGCTTAAATTCTTAATTCCTGAAAGGCACACTTGCCCCCTTATGAAGTGACTCCCGTGTCCCCTCAAAGCTCTTCAGTGGCACCAATCAATGTGCTCAAGAGGGTGGAAATTGTGCTTATAGAGAACGTGTTTCCAAATCAACGGGGCTTCTCCCCCTTTCTCTCTTTTGACGTGAGGCTGTAGCTCTGAGCACTCCATTTATGCCGAGTATTCATCTGACTAGCAGTAGAGGCTATACGGTTGACCCTGATTCCTGCTAGCGTGTTAGCGCTTGGCTCATCTCCCCCACTTTGAACACAGAGTAGGGCTGCTTGCTTGTATAGGGAATGGTGCCACTCACAGCAGGCAGGTCTTCCCAGGTCCATTATCTTACTCACACCAGGAGGTCCACCTACCTGGTGAGTCTAGATTCTGTCAAGTCAGCAGTTAACACTAACTCTCACAGGCTATAAGGGCATCAGAGAGATGCAGGGTCTAAATGGAGTCAGAGGTGGCAGAGGGCACCTCCATAGCTCCAAGGTAAGCTCACCGGGGAGAGCATTGATATCTTATTCACCTGCTAGGGTGGAGCTCTCCGGGTAGTGGGCCAGTGTGGAAGAGACCCTGCACATTTGTATTCCACAGGGAGTGGAGAAGGGCTTCTGTGCTTTGTCAAGGTAATTGCTTCATTTATTATTTAATAAATTATATTATATATTATATATACATATATACAATATGTAATATTTACTAAAATTCAGGGTGGGGAAATCTAGAGACTAATGATAAGTTAGGTTCTTTCCAAAAAATTTTTTTGAAGGTCTGTTTCACGGTGGGTGAACCAGAATATATAGTGATTCACACTCTCTAGGGTCCCCAGGCTTTCCCCCCATTATTTGCTAACCAATGTTAGCTTCGTGTTCCATTGATGCCACAGTAGTTGAGTTCCCTTTTAAAAGTAAGAAACATGTACGAATACAGCAAATGCAGCAATACAGGAAAAAAGAATGGCAGTAAGTTGATGGATTGATGTTTGTCCCACTCACAGGTTTTATCAAGGTGGTAAAATAGCGTGAGAGATTGGAAAGTATGCTTAGGGTGAGCTATCAAGAAAGTCTCTTTGGTCCTTATCTGCCAGTTCTAGGGTAAAGTATGAACTCCCCAGCTATTTTATTCCCGTTTCACTGACCTGAATTTTTTTTAATTCACTCATTTATTTTGTCTTGAGCGCTTAATTAAGCCCTAAGGTGGGCAGGCATTTCTGAACACAGTTATCACTTTTCAATGCCATGCTGTCGTTGGAGGCTGGCCTCTCAGGAAGCACAAGGCAGGGGCAGGAGTATTTGTCTCTTTTTCACTTGCTAGAGGGATTCAAGGACCAATTGCAATGCTGTTGAATCTACAACAACATTTTAGAAAGTGACACATAAAGGCAAATGGTGTGTGCAAGAGCAAGCATTAGCACAGAGGAGCCTTGACCATCGCAAATGTCCCTCAAATGAAGTGTGCACTTCTGTGAGTATATCGGGCAGTACTGATGATTTAGAATGCCACTGACTGTTGGATTAATGTCCAGAGACTTCTGGATATTTTAAAATACAATGACTTGGAACACGGTATTTTCCTGACTGTGTTTTTTTTTTGCTACTCTACAAATTGTGCAATACAGTTTTCACTGCAGAAAAAAAGAAACCAGCTAACATTAAACGTCAAATAAAAGTGCCCTAACAGGGGACACTGGCACCATCTTGCAACCCCAGCTACTCCAGAGGCTGAGGCAGGAGAACCGAGAGTTCAGGGACACACTGTAGAATTGAACAAGATCTTGCCTGAGAATAAAATTTAAAAGGTATGGGGTGGGGCTCCATGGTAAGCACTTGCCTAGCATGTGGGAGACTCTGAGTTCCATTTCTAGTACCATGCAAAACAAGGCTCAGCACCACCAATCACTAGCCACCAATCACCAACCACCAACCACCAACATCAATTACCAACCACTAACCAATTACCAACAACTAATCACCACCCACCAATCACCAACCACCAATCACTAGCTACCAATCACCAACCACCAACCACCAACCACCAATCACCAATTACCAACCACCAACCACCATTCACCAACCATCAATCACCTATCACCCACCATCAATCACCAGCCACGAATCACCAACCACCAGTCACGAATCACCAACCACCAACCAATCATCACTAACCAGTGTAAGTAATTGGTTTACAGTCCTGTGTAAGTTCAAAGGGTGTTATATGATAACATCTGTGTATAATTCACTGGCTAAAAGACCCACAGAATATTCTTTTTAAAATAAATAATAATTCACGATTTACCGATTGCTTCTGTACCATGTGGCAAACATGAGGCACCAGGGATACACCAGGGTGTAAAGACATTCTCACAGAACTGTGACCTGCCATGTTAGCTGGGGAGAGTCACCGACAAAGCAGCATGTGACTGGGCTGGGAGCTGGGTTGGGAGTTGGTGTTGTTTGGAAGGTCAAGAGGTCTTTCTTGAAGAAAGGGCCTTTGCTGGGACTTAGCTAGGGAGAGTAGGTCCACAAGACAAGACAGTTGCAGAAGGCCAATTTCACCCGTAGGCACCAGTCTTACACGTCTGTCCTTTTGGCATTAGCTTTAATTGTGTTTCCATCAATTTGAACTTTAAAAAGTCCCAGCTAAATCAATTCTACCTCAGAGAGGTGTTGGAATTCAATTGCTCACTGTACGTGCTTGGCTACCAGAGTGTCTGTAAAATGCCAAATACTTCTTAAGAATGGTGGACATCATTAGTTCTGTATTTCTATGGCCCTGCACCTAAGGCACATGCCATAAGGTTTAAAATAGACAAGATAAGTTCCGTCATAACTCTAGTGTATCAAAGGGCACAATCCCAAGAATGAAAAGGAAACTGGGTAAGGGGTTAATTTCCAGACTATGTTAAATAACTCTTACATCTCAACAACAACAAGATAACTCAATTTGTAAAAAAGAAAATGTAGGGCAAAGAATTTTTAATAACCACTTCTCCATAGATGGTATGCAAGTGATTAACACATGAAAATCTCCTCAAATGTTGCTAATTGTTAGGCAATTCAGATAAAAATAACAGCAAAGTATCTCCCTCTGACTATCAGAAAACCAAATGCAAAATTAAAGCCCAAAGAAAATAGCAGTTGCTGGTGAGGATGTAGAGAGATTAGCATCTTGGTACCCTCTTGGTAGAACTGTGAAGTCGTGTACGGCTGCTATGCCTACCCAGTGTGGCGATTGCTTAAAACCAAACAAAACAAAGCCTAAAGCTAAAACTAAACAGTATGATTCGGGTAGTCCACTTCCAGGAATAAGTAAACAAAGGATCTTAAGGAAATAATTTCCCAACTATCTTCATAGTGGTCCTCCCTTATACCAGCCAAGGAGGGAGCAACATGGGGCTCACCCGCAGAGAAACACCCTGGAATTACCCAGCTCTGCGATGCTCTGACACACACCACAGTGTGGAGGAAACTGGTGATGTCATGTGTAAAGTCAGCCAGCCACAAAAGAACAAGTGCTGTGAAGACCCTGCCTATGTGCAGTCCCTAGAGTCATCAAGCTCAGAGAGGCTGAGATGGTTGCCAAGGCTGGGCAGAGGGAGTTAGCTTAGCGTGCAGAGTTTTTCAGTTTCGCGGTATGAAGACAACACGGGGCTTGTTCCCACAACACACGACTATGCTCAGCACTGCCCAGATAGGCATTTTGTAAAATAACCAATATGGTAAATTTGATTTTGTGCATTTTTTAAAAAAAGAAAACATTGAAAGAGAAATACAAAAAAAATAGTTGTAGCTAGATAGGCTGGGCATTCTTTGATGGAAAAAAAGTCACAGGAAATGGTGTGGGACGTATGTCCTTTCCATCCTGAACAGAGAGAGACCCTCAGATGCAGGCACCAAATAAATCAGGGGAAGGAGGGCTTCACAGGAAAGATAAAAGAGTTGGTGTCAGTGTGTCACTCGCAAAGGCTTCAAAACCCGTCTGTCACTTGGCTTTCGCAGGGCTTCAGAAAGAACCTCATAGCTAAAGGCTGACTTGGCTCTGTGAGAACTGCCACCATGCTCCTGATGGTTAATGTAGTCAGAGTTATGTTATATGCTAACTAGGTCAAGACTTTCTGGAATAAATATAGCCCCCCCCAAATATGGAAGAGGTCTGTTCTAGAAAGAATCATTTTTAAGTCAAATAAAAAAAAAAACCCGAACTCATCTGTAGTCTGAGAACGGTCTCCAGGTTTTCAAGGGGAGCAATGTATTCACCTTATGAAAGGGTTAGCACACCGAAAGCCCTGGAATCAAATTTACCCACAACCAGTGACCGTGTCTGTGATGATTAGCTTTAATTCTCAACATGACACAACCTAGGGTCCCCTGGAAACAGAACCCTAATAGGGATTGTCTACTGTCTTTAGCTAGAATTTCTATGGCCGTAATAAAAGACCAAGCATAAAGGCAGCTTGGGGAGAGAAGGGTTTGGTTCAGTTTGGAGTCCCACATTGCAGAAGGGAAGTCAGGGCAGGAACTCAGACATGGCAGGAATCTGGAGCCAGAACACAAGCAGAGGCTGTGGAGCACTACTCACTGGCTTTGAAGTCTTCATGGCTGGCTCAGCATGTTTTCTTATTAGCACCCAAGACCATCATCAAGAAGGTGGGGCTGTTTTCTCAGATGAGGCCCCTTCTTCTGAAATGACAGGAGTTTGTGTCAAGCTGATGTAAAATGAGCCAGCACATCTAGATTGGGCTGGTCTGTGGGTGTGTCTGTGGGGAGGGTCGTCTGATTTAAGGGTTGATGTGGGAAGGCCTGGGCATACTGTGGAAATCACCATTGATTCCCTAGGCAGGGGTCCTGAACTAGAAGAGTGGGAAAAAATGATCTGGGCTGGAGGAAGCAAGGCATTCATTCATTCATTCATTCATTCATTCGCTAATCCATTCCTCTCTGTGCTTTACTGTGGATCTGTGTGATGACATGTTTCAAGTCCCTGGCTTGACTTCACCACAGCTTGGAGCTGTGAGTGGAGATCAGTCCTTTCCCCCCTGAAGACACTTTATGTCAAGGTTTTAAAACCTAGGACAGATTCTGAACAGTTTAGTCTCCTGGAGTCCGTTGAGTGGAGGCAGGGGCACAGGTGTCCCTCTGGAATAGCCCTTGCTCATTGTGAGTCCTCCAGAAGGCCCGTGGGAGACCGATCAGAGAGTGACTTCTCCAGAACACGCGGCATGTGGTTCTCAGCTCTGCTCCGGGATCGTAAGACACGCTATCGATGTGGGAGGAGGCTCGGGGCCCAGGAAGGACCACACGTCTCCTAAGTCAATGTAGCACAGGTGAAATAATGCTGCTAGGCAGTAAAAGGAGATACAGACAAGAGAGCTAGATCGGCCTGGGGTGACATCGAGGCGGGGAAGAGGGAGCCATGTCTGTCATCACTCCCTGTAGACCACAGGCTGACCCACAGCTACTGGAAACACAAGCCCTTCATGCGGGATTGACTAGCTGTATCTAAGGGATAGTTTCTCCCTCCCGGCCTTCGTCTCAAGCCCGTGTTTTTTTAACTCTGAAAAAAAAATCAGACCAGGTGCTCCTCTGATGGATCTCTTCACTGGATGCAATGGTTCTCACCTGGGTCCCAGCTCCTTGATATTTACTGTGGTTTAAAAACTCTTTTTCTGGGGACCTGGGCTTGACGCTTCCCACTGCTCTTCGCCAGTGACTGCAAGCCGTGGCTCCATTTTCCTCCAGAGCTGACTGCCTCGGAACACGTCTTGTCAGCCCAGGGTCTAGTCTCTTACC